CGACCAGATGCGAGACCACGTTCCAGCAATATCTTTGATATCCATTTACATGTTATTGGGGTTTGTGGAGCTTAGTGTTACAAAGAAATTCAGACCAAACTTTTTCAGTTTGTGCAAGATTTTTTCTGTCTGTCTGACCTTACATATATCTGTCTGTTTATTCACCCATCTCTGTCTGTCTATCTGTCTGGCTGTCTGTCTGTCTAATCTATTTGTTTTTTACTGTAACACTGGGAGAAAACCACTAAAAGTTCATCTTTGATCATTCAGGGGGTGGACAGTAGAAACACCTAACAATAAATACAAAGCTCATTGCTTACCTTCAGAAGAGCTTCTGTTCATCTTGAAATAGTATCATACAAGTTGAGAATTATATGTAGTCAGCTGTTGGAGGAAAAATGTGGAAATCTACCTTGTATTCTGGTTTTCCTTGTTCCTCTGGGTTCCAGCTCTTGTGGTGGACACAAGCCATTTCTAAATGGCAGTCCTGTTACAAATGCTAACTTTATGAAACTTGAGATGTATAGTTTTTTGACACTGGGTCACTGAGTTGCTGGTTCAGTTCTGTGGTCGTTTCTGAGGCTGTTTTCCTTACAGTGTTTAGCGGATGTTCTGTTAGGCATCGCTCAATCTCTGTTGGTGAGCCTTGGTTTGATAGCTCTTCTTCTCTTTGCTAATTCAGTTTTTCAGCGTTGCCATATGAGACTGTTCCCCTTCACACATTAAATTTAGTAGTTTTTGTGACTTCGTAAAATGCAATTTAAGCACCAGCCCCATTGAAACACTCTTACATGCCTTAACTTATTTTGAAAATTGACCTTGTTGATTGTTAGTGACATATTGCCAATTGGCATTCAACTGAATATGACTTATCTCTGTAACTATGCTTTGTAATTGTGACTTAATCTAAAATTACTTTAATATTAAATTTTCATGTAGTGTTTGTCATTTTATGCACCCCCTGTAGGGGAAGCTCCTCCCCGTTAATTGTACAAACTAACAGAAAATGCATTTTAAAACCATGAAAACAGGGAATTATAGGTGGCATGGTGGTGCAGTGGTTAGCACTGTTGTCTCACATTAAGAAGGTCCTGGGTTCGATCCCCGGGTCACCCAGGCTGCCTTTCTGTGTGGAGTTTGCATGTTCTCCCAGTATATGCGTGGGTTTCCTCCCACAGTCCAAAGACATGCAGATTAGGTCGACTGGCTACTCTAAATTGCCCATAGGTGTGCATGTGAGTGCGTGTGGGTGTTTGTCTGTGTTGGCCCTGTGGTGGACTGGCAGCCTGCCCGGGGTGTACCCCACCTCTCGCCCGATGATGCTGGGATTGGCTCCAGCTTCCCCGCGACCCAGATGGATAAAGCTAAAGATAATGGATGGATGGATGGAAAACAGGGAAGTGTGTGTTTAGGCAGTGTGGCGTTGCTGTTGTTGATCTGAGGTCCTTGACAGTGGTACGTGTGCCAGACTATTCCCCGTCACGTGTTGGAAGCCACCTACGGCATCAACATCATCCGCCCTCGGGAGGATGAGGACCCGGAGCGGCCTCCCACGGCCGAGGAGCTCCTGTCGGCCTATGGATGTGAGGATGCCCTACTCTGCATATCTCAGCTGTTCAGTCAGTTCTTGAGTTTTTTTTGCAAGGTTGTTTCATCCCCGCTCACGCCATCATGCTTTGGGTGGTGTTACAGATATGAGGGGCTTCATGACCGCGCACGGGCAGCCTGACCAGTCCCGCTCGGCTCGGTACATCCTGAAGGACTACGTCAGTGTAAGTCAGCACTGAGCGTGAGGCCGCCAGCCGAGCGGTAAGAGAGCATAGAGAATTCAAATTGACTGACTTCCTGAAACACATTGCCGTCGCTGCACTACCAGGGGAAGCTACTGTACTGCCACCCACCTGCCCACATCAAACCAGAGGATTTCCAGCCTCAGCACAGCACGTTCAAAAAGCCAGAAGCGGGAGAGATGCGACACATCTCTGCGGAGACGGGCAAGCAGCAGAAAATCAAGAGGATTGAAAATGTGGTGGACAAAAACTTCTTCCATCAGGTATTTGATCTCCTTATTCTCTGTATTCCATGTCTGTCTCATCTGATGCAAGCATCTTTGCATCCATCCATCCATCCAACTCCTAACTGCTTATCTGTTCAGGGTCATGGGAGGGGGAACTGTTTCAGGCAGCACGGGACACAAGGCTGGGGAACACCCTGCAAATAAAACGGACGCAGGATTATTATTATTATTATTAATGGTCCAAGCATGTAGTGCTGGAACCCTATTGTTTTTATTATTATTATTATTATTATTATTATTATTATTCTGCCTTTACGTATTTTTTTTTTAATTTTCTGTAGCTATATAAACAGTATTGTTGTATGTTTTCTTTTGTTTTTTTGTCTTCTCCCAGGACAATGTGAGGGCTCTGACCAGGGGCGTCCAGTCAGTGATGGGCTACAAACCTGGAAGTGGCCTGACTAACCAGGCCAAGCCAGGCTCAGAGCAGGCTGCTGGGAAGCCCTGGAAGAAGCATGGCAACAAGAACAAAAAGGAGAAAGTGCGCAGACTCACTAAGCACCTGGACATGTAGCGGGCTGCTCTCGCTGTATATCCACCAACAACAATACAAACAGCATAGTAATTTCTTACTGAATGTTATAATTTATGCATTCAGAATATATATTTAAACTAACCTGGGTTACCATCTGTGCTGCGCCATTTAGTAGAAATGGGTCCTTTTGTAAATTCTTTCCAATACCTTTGGTAATGAACATTCATTACATTGCAAATGGAAATAAATTATGAGAAATATTCATTACTTAACAAATGTATATTGATGCAAATTTGAATTGTTAAAGGGGATTATTTAAAAAGAATGGTTTTCACTGGTAGGGTTTTCTTAATAAAAAAATCCCCCTTATGTGTAGCTAATGATAGCACTAAATAGGACTGCCTGATTTGGCTCTGAAAACCAGTTAACACTGTAATTCCTTTTAAGTAATTTAAATTTTAAAATCCCGCCTTAAAATGTAACATTTAAATTGAGTATAATATGTTGATAAATCAAAATCATCTCTGTAAGGTGTGGGAAGAATGATCAGCTATCAACCAGCTAAGTTATGTTTGTATAGTACTGCTATATTTATGATTGCAAATTTCCCTAAACAAGACAATACTTTTCTCAGTAGTTTTTCTTTCTTGACTAATTAAGATATCGATTTGACTAATGTGGCACCCAATAAGCGTACTGAATGCTGACTTGAAAGTGTCGAAATCATTTTATATTTATTTGTAAGTATGCAGCTTTGTTTATAACATATTCCCTGATTTTCCACATATGCAAAGCAAAATTCATTGGATGGTTCCTTTACACCAAATTCAGTCTCTCATTTATAATCAGGTTAATTTGCTTTATGAATTCCTTAGTCTTCTTAAAAGTTAAGTCTTAAAATTGAGGTGGATTCTGCACAGCTAGAGATGTCAGGGTAGAATTCCTGGACACCACAGGCAACTTGCATCAGTCCTGAAGTTGCCTTGCTACATGGGCTGCCTTACAAATTGAGGGCATAAATAAAACATAGTATTTGTAGTATCTAAACACATCCTAAGGAATAGCACATCCATTTCCCCACAAAATGCCTGGAACAAGGTGACCTAAAAAGCTTTGACCAGCATCCATGACATTGCAGTAAAAACCTGTCCAGCATTTTCCTACCATGGTTTCTATGCATCAGCTGACTTTCTTCCAGGATGCATGGAAGTAAATTCCAGAAGATGTTCATAATGAGTTCATTTCTTCTTGGTCTCCTCCATGGAGTCTCGACTTTTAGATCTGAGCTCTGAGTGCTAAAAGACCTATAGATACAAACTGCTGCCGGTTGCTTCTCCTATTTAATTGTGGTATTTCAAGGAGGCATAAACCCTACAGAGTGAGTTATGCAGTATACCAATCAGTCTAATAACCAGTAATATGATCATTAAGTGCCTTACAAGTTAGAATTTTGATGCAGTGTTTTGGACGTAAAGTAGGTATTGTGTATGTTGTCGGTCTTTAATTACGACTGAAATTAGGGAAATGCACGTTATTGAGACTTTTGTCCTTTATCGTTTTTTGATCAAATCAGGCAGGCTTTTGTTCCCGATTAGCACTTTCAGCACTAAGACTGAAGGCTATACAGTGGTAGGCCTACCTCAGTTCTCCAACTAATTTGAACCCGAATTTCTTAAAGGTCGAACCAACCAGTTCGAAAAAAATGACCTAGAACTCGATCTGAATATCAGAAGTCTAACCGTGAATGCTGACCCAAGATAACTTGTATGCGCAGGGAAATGAGTCACACCGCACGTCTCTCAGCGGAAACGAAGGGTAAAGCTTCAGTCTCAGCCTCACATTCGCTGTGATGGCATACTGCATGTTTACACCAGCTGAATACATATATTTAGACAGTAAAAATACATTTAGATAATGATAGACAGTAACAGTAATTATTATTGTATTGAAAAATAAAGATTTCTTATTAATATTTTTATATCATTAATAATAAACCATTAATACATTTAATTATAATAATATTGTCGTGCCCAGCTGGGACGGAGACAAAGGCACAGACGACAGGGTATCGGGGAATACAGGGTTTAATTACAGGTAAGGCAGGCAAAAGGCAGGCGGACAATACAATGACCGGACTGGGGAAGCAAATTGAAACGCGGACGAAATACAGAGGATTAATGACAACAACCAGAAACCTGATCACACGGGGATTCCACGCGAGGTTAACGAGGGGGCATGGCACACGAAAGGAGCGGACGGTCGGGCAGGACACGTTGTTTTTACACATTGTTTGAATACATTTATTTTCTTACTTTACAAATTACTGTTTTGATAAATGTGCTTAGATGTGTTTAGTACAGTATATGCTCTTCTTGTTTTATCCGGTTCATTTTGTGTTTAAATGCTAAAAAAAAAACCATATTTACGTGTAATTTTTTGGGACCGGGAACCAAATAATTGGTTTTACATTATTTCTTATGTGGAAAATTCGATCCTGAGTTCTGAACGGATTAAGTTCGAGTACTGACGTACCACTGTACTAATAAAACCTACAGCCGCGAAAAAACGTAAGAGATCAGTTTATATATTAAAAAAAATTTGCATACTTAAAGACTGGTTTAATCGTCGTTCCGCTGACAGAAGGCTACGCTGAGCAACAGGTTGTTTAGAGGTTCAAAATTTCTCATGAATCGTAGGATGACATCAAGTGACCTTGAAAGGAATGGGTGCAGGTGTGAAATGCACTGCTAGGACAGATCGAGTATGTATGTGTGTGTGAGTGAAACAAAAACTGCTATGCTTTTTCCCGCGGCTGTATAAATGCCGTCCAAATACAAGAGATATACAAAACCGTTCAATTAATTAGCCCCTTTGCATATGATTGCAGACCATTAAATTCATAAAAAATAATAATAATTTTCCCCCTGGAAGACAACAATTTTTCCCAAATGCAGTATGCGTATGAGTTTTCAATGGGTTTTCATAATTTACTTTGGTTTAACATTGAGTTATAAACAAACTATCCCCTAAACTGATCTACATGCAGTTTGTGCCAGTTTCTCTGCGATGTTTTCGAAGTACCTATTTTCTTGAAAGTTTCCTGTACTGAGATCAGTAGTTAACACAAAGAAACATACTTTATTTAGATCGTCGGTCCTCTATATTGTATTTATTTAATAAAAGTTGCAGATAACTTTTTTTGTAATTTCTAGATTGTACAGGCCATCTTGAAAGCCACCTGACCGGCTTCATTTGCAATGTAACTTTAACCTAATTGGTCGCATGTTTCTAGTGTCGATTTAGGTTTCTTGAACTCGGGTTGCTTTTATGATATTTTGCCTGCATATGTTTAAATCATGATGCTTTAAGATGGGACACCTAAAGCAGTCCATTGAAATACCAAATACGACAATGAGATATTTCCTTGGCTGGACTTCTTGGATCAGCCCTGAATTTACACCATGCTTTTTTGAGCCACTTTTTTGCGTACCTGCTGGATTATGTTGTTTATCTGCGATACTTCTAACAATTGCGTACTTTCTGTAAGTAACCACGTTTTCTTCTTTTTCTCAATAATTGAAGTAAATAAACGGAGTATGTGGTTTGATATACACTAGAATCTAAAAATTATGCAAGCGGTCCTCGGATTGATTTTTCCCGTTCGTGTTAGGCTGATTTTTAAGGACTGTGCGGCGAAGCGCAGCGGCTCCGCAGCCACGGCCGCCTGCGCCCTTTACTGCCTGCTCGGGAACTTAAGCGGCGCCGTGGGGGCTCTGCTCTCTAACCAGCTGCTCATGCAGGTATCATGCAGGGCTCTGTTTCTTAATATACTTGCTTTTAAAAATGCATTATCGTATCCTGTTAGTGAATAGATGTACAGGTATGTACGTGAAATTTAGTGTTACTGTTTAACCTGCTTGAAGGCAACAGGACTCCATTATCTAACTTCCTATTCATATAGAAATGTATGGTTTATCATGGCTTCACGTGCAGTTTGTCGTAGGCGTGTTGTGCTGGTAAAGTGTTAGCTTTGACAGTGTTCATTAGGTGTCTATTGTTACCATTAAACCTTTTACACGACGTGCCCCGGCCTTGATAAATGATTAGAAGGTGGATTGACAGATGGATTCATCCTGTTATAGATAATGTTAATTATAATGTAAATTTTTTTAGGAATGTGTTTTGTCATTATACATGCCAGATAATGACAGCATATAACTGGATTTTGGTTTGAAAACAGTATATGTTTAACCTTATTTCTATGTACAGTTTCCATTTCCATCTACTTTTGTCAGCTTAGCAGTGTTAAAGAAAATTAGAATTTCCAATCTGTTTTTATTTTCGACAATGGGGCATCTGGAAGTATAATGGCTAACGTGCTATTTCTCTTTGCATTTTACGTTCTGCGTGCCAGATGGTGATGGGTGTATTCATGACAGGATTGGATATTGTTCGTTTCATGTTTATCTACATTCCCGTTTGTCTGTGCAAACATTCAAAGAGTGGTGAGTTATGAAAGGCACCTGTATTTACAGTTGTAGATACAATTTATAGTGCAAAATGTTTTCTTAAATATGTAAAGCTAATAGATCTACTGCCATATTGTGTTCAAATCTGGTGGAGATGCCACAGTATCATGCCATCATCGCTGAAATGGTGAGACTTTGTAATAGAAACTCCTCAAGACCATCTATTATGGGAACACCTTAATTACTACTCTGGCTGCATCTCTGATATGTGAATTTTTGAGTGGTTTGTATGTTTATATGTGTGCATGTGTATCTTTATTATTTGTTGTTTACTTTGTACAGCACTTGTTAATGAAGGTTGGTTTTACAGTCCTTTTAAATAATTTACTTACTTTCTTACTAGCTCATAGCTGATCATCTTTATGTCCTGAATGCTTTTTTGTGCTTCACTTTGATTTTAATAGTTCTCTTATATTCTTGCTATGGTTGTGTTTTATACGTTTTGCTCCAATAGTACTTTACACTTATTTATTACTCATTGGAAGCTCAGCCTAGTTGCACTTATGTCTAGCTGACACCATATGTTTGCAATGCAACTTGACCATTGTTTTGGAGAAAAGTGTCAGCTAAATTAAAGTATGTGGAGGTTTCAGTCCAGGTTTCTAACGTATTGTCTTCTTTTGGTTGTTGTGTCTGTCTTTGTCAAAGATGACTCTCCTAACTTCCTTGCATCCTTGCCTTAGCCAGAAGGATTAAAATGGTGTTAAAGAAGAAACATGGGCAAAGTTTCCTGGTTATGTGCTTTCCCATGGTTCTGGGAGCATGGCTCTTCTTGTGGCCTCGTGTGACCTGTGGCCCTTTGGTTGAAGCTCAGCCACAGAGACGCCTTCTCGGAATTTCTCCACAGGTGAGTAGGATGCTGTGTTTGTGTACAGAAGGTTGCTGGCTCATGATCTGTGGTCGGTATAACGATTTTAAGCTTTGGACAAAAGCATCTGCTAAATAAATTAATGTGAATGAGTGCTGCCATCTTGTGGAGGCCCCATGGTGGCAGTTCCTGATGGGACTATGCTTCATTTGCACTGTGATATTTATCACCATATTTATCACTTTATCATCATATCATACTTCCCTCCTGGAGCAGGACAATGGAGAAATCCTGGGTTACACTCTGGGTCTGCTTTCCTGCATCATTGGTTGGACCTCGAAGCTTCCTGCTCTAATTGAAGCAGTGAGTACCCCAGTAACCCTAACAGCTTCCCTGTCCTGGGAGAGTTAGTGATGGAGAGCTGGTCAGTATATTCCTGTTTCAGCTGTCTTGTGGAAGTTGGGTGCCACTTTCCAATAAGGCTCCCTTTTGCCACTTTTTAATTGTAGTAACTTGTGATATTGCCCAGCCCTATTAACATTGGATAGGAATGACCCAGCAGCCACAACATCTTTTAAAAGATGAGATCTTATGGATAAACAAGGTGGTGCAGAGGCTGCTGGGATTACTGAACTGAGAGAGTAGTGTTGACGCCGGTGTGCACTTGTGTGCGTGTTGCAGCAGTTGTTTTGGGATTGTTTGGAAGTATATTTGTGTGTTTGTGTGCTAATACAGTTTACGTGGGTGGCTGTTTTTTTTTTTTATTTTGGTCTGTGTGTGCGCTTGTCTGTCCTTGAAACAGTCCGCATGTTGCCAACAGTGAGGTGCAGCTGTGCGTGTCAAGTAAGCAGCGTTTTCTGTCCATGTAACTTCGTAACAAACACCCACGGGGTATTATTATCTAACATCGGTAATGTTAACTAGTGTCAGAAAAGGACAGTTGCTCCTGAGCTTTGCTCGTCACCTGTTGGGGCCGGGAGGACATTTTCCACTTTTTTTTCCTGCTCCGGCAGTAGCCTGCTAGCTGTGACTTCCCAAGAGCAACTTCGCTTTACTTCGCTTTACATGGTCCAGTAGGAAGTTATTGGTAAGTAATAGTTCATTTGGTTGACGTATTACTAATTAAGGTTTTTATCTCTCTGACCCTATCAAATAATTAAAAGTTCCGTTTTAACGTAACTGTTAGCGTTTTATTGTACTCAGCACATTATTGTATTAACTACCCATGAATTAAATCAATTCAAAGTGAAATACTCTAATATAAATATACTGAGCTGGGAGTAAGGGATAGTGTTATAGTGAGATAGTTATGGGGCCAGCTCAGTGTTGTGTTTGCATGATGTTTGCCTCCTGGATGCTTGCATACAGTTGTACTTCATCTGCGAGTGATGTCAGCTAGTGGACTCACTCACCGCCAAGGTTCGTGACCTTGAGGAGCAACTGGCTCTCATCCGACACAACATGCAGTTAGAAGAGATGGTTAATATGCCTTTTATGCCACAAGTGGGGAGGGGGGAAAATGAAGAACAGAAGTTGAGAGAGTTGGGTGACCGTAGGTCATAGACGTAAGAAAGGGTGTACACATTATACAGAGACGGCATCACCTGCACTGACTGTGTCAAACCGCTTTCAGGTGCTTCCAGCTTTAGAGCCAGAAGAGACTGGGGAGACAGGTGGACCCTTGGGCACCAAGGAGCCCCCTCCCCCCAAGAAGAGAGAGGTTGTGGTAGTGGGGAATTCAATTATTAGAGATTATTATGTAGAAAGTTATGTTTGCAAGTGTGATACGGTGTCTTGCCTGCCTGGTGCCCAGGTGGGGGACCTTCCGGATCTTGTGCACAGGCTTTTCACCCCCAGCCGGGATGGATCCAGTGGTCGTGGTGCATGTTGGCACTAACGACATAGGTCGGGGCAGGTGGGCTGTTCTGCAGGAAAAATTTATAGCATATAAACTTAGAAGCAGAACGTCCATGGTGCTGTTCTTTGGAATATTTCCCGTGCCATTTGAGACCAGGCTAAGTAAGCTGAGATAAGGAGATTAATTGCGTAGCTAAAAGGATGGTGTAGGAAAGAGGGGTTTAGGTTTATGGGGCACTGGAGGACCTTCTGGAACAGGTGGGACCTGTTCAAGCTGGATGGGTTGCATCTGAACCAGAGGGAAACCAGTGTATTGGGGAGGCTTATGTGTAGAGTAGTTGAGGAATGTTTAAACTAGGGACTGGGGGGGCAGGGAGGTTAGTTATGAATATAGGTGGGGGGAGACGGAAAGCCCCAAATAATAATGAAATTGGGCACTATAAAAGGCCTAACCTTTGCTGTCTGTACTTAAATGCTAGGAGTACTAGAAACAAAATTCATGATTTAGAGGCTTTTAATTAATCAGATGTTTATGATATTGTAGGAATAACAGAAACATGGTTGAGTGATAATGATGGAGAAGGAATATAATATAGATGGTTAGACGTTGTTCTGTAGAGACCAGATAGGCAAGAAGGGAGGTGGTTGCAGGCAAGGGAGCTTACTGATAAAAATAAAAGTACAGAAGCTATATGGGTAAAACTACATGCTAAAAACTGAAATGGCCTAATTGTCAGTGTTTGTTACAGAGCACCTAATGTAGCTGCAGAGGAAATCAGGATTATGAGTAATAAAAATGATGTGGTGGTTATGGGTGATTTTAATTTACCTGGGATACAGTCTCTGGTTCTTCTGTAAATGAACTTGAGATGGTGGAATTAATACAAGATTGCTTTTTTACTCGGTTTGTTAATACCCGTACCAGGGGAGATGCCCTTCTTGATCTTGTTTTGTCTAACAACCAGGATAGGATTGGAAAATTAGAGGTTTTAGAACCACTGGACGGTAGTGATCACAACATGATTAAATTTGAGGTTAATTTTAGTGTCCAAAGAGCAAAGTCCAAAACAAAAACATACAATGTGAGGAAGGCTAACTTTAATGGAATGAGACTGAAACTAGAAACTGTACACTGGGTGGAGGTTAAATAACAAAACTGTTGAAGATGCATGGGAATTTTTTAAAAAGCACATTGTTGCAAGTGCAAGAGGACTTCATGCCTGTTTCCAGCAAAACTAAATCTACGAAACTGCAACCAAGGTGGTTTACTAAGGAAATTAAGAATAAAGTCAGAAGGAAAAGGGCTCTATTCCACAAATGGAAAATAACTAATGATTTCAGAGTAAAGCAGGAGTACCTGCTGTAAGTCTACAGCTTGAGTTAAAAAATAATATTAGACTTGCTAACAGGAATGTTGAAAGGAAGATTGCACTGGAGGCTAAGGATCACATCAAAAGTTTCTTCCAATATTTTAACTACAAAAGAGCTCTGAAAGCTGAAAGCACTAATCTGCAGATAGTAAGAGTCTTATAATTTAAAATGAAATTGATATAGTTAATGATTGTTTTGCATGGGTATTCACTGTAGAGGACACAAGTAACATACCGAATCTTATTACTGATACAGCATCATCTCTGACTAATATATGTATAACTGAAGCTGATGTGTTACAAAGCCTATCTAAGCTCAAAATAAATAAGTCACAGGTCCCTGATGACATGCAAAAAAAATGTCGACGTATCTTTAATTGACGCGTTGTTTTAATTTCTCAAAATGCGCCAACCGTTTTCCGGTTCTGTCCAACTTGAGTGTTGCCAGATTTTGCGGTTTTGGATTTTATAATTAGGGAGTGTGAGTACCTATGGATCATTTTTATCTAGGAAGCTATTTCTCATTTCTGTATGCTACAGTAAGTAGCCACAACAGTTTAATACTGTGGCGTCAAGCGGACCGAGGCAGACACTCGCTTACCGGGAAACATAGTCTCTAAGAAAAGAGCCAGCCTAAGTCCAGAACACATGGACATGTTGACGTTCTTATATACACTATAACACAGAAGTTTGACCATCAGATGGATAAACGGTTGTCTCTTGCACTGTAAATGTGTTGCACTTTAACTTTTTTGCTTTGAAAAAGAGTTTCGTGAAATTTTGGATGTTAGTTGGAGTTACGCTGCTGATGTTAAAATAAGTGCTCTTATTTGTTTATTTGTTGTTTGTATTTCTTGCTGGAGTTGTCCGTTTTACAAACAGTTGTCTGTTTTTCTTAGAGAACTTAAATTCCAGTACTTGACCACAGTATAGTCTAAACATGCTGCCCTGTTTAATGTGAAAACCCAAGTTATATTTTGAAAAGGGATATAAAAGAAACATCTTTTTTCCAGTTAGAGATGCACTCCTTGCTGAAATGTGCCCACTTTGTTTGTTTGCAGTTATTGATGTTCAAAATATGCTGAATATAGAGCTGAAGACGTTTTCAAAAATAATTTTTAAGGGCTTTCACAGAAACTTTCTTAAAACCTGCACAATACTGTGAAAGGTAATAAGACTTTTGTAATTTTTTTTGTGATGCTAGAGTGCACAGTGCAGTTTAAAGTCCGACACGTTTATTGAACATTAGGATATACCAAATTTATACTGATTACTAACCTTTGGGTGTCATTAAATTAGGGCTGCCGTGATTAGTCGTCGTAGTCCACGACGTCAACGCTGAAAATGCGTCGACATGAATATTTTAAATCGATGCATTATTTCTACAACGCTTCAGATCATTATAACACATGTTTTCATTTAATATCACTACGTAATTATTATAGTACTTAAAATTATCACAAATCAAAAAGGTGGTTAACTCTTACCCTAACCCTAACCCTAACCCCTAAAACCTAACCCTAATCCCAAAACGGTGGAACTGCACATGCGCAGAAAGGCTCGATAGCACGTCTCGATAGGTAGTATTTTTCGACAGAACAGTGGCACTAACGCTACACAGGAGCACCTGAAGAGGAAACGCATAGGCACTATTCTGGATGATGGCTGAACCGTTAGAGAAGGCAGAACCACCCGAAGGGCTGTCTGTTCATGTTTATTAAATTAGAATTATATTTTGTCCTTGTATCTGCTAAATACACCAATTAAAGCCATAAAATTGTCTGTTTGCTACATTAGAATCTTCATCGAATAAGTGTTTGTGAAAATGTGAAGGCTAAAATCTGGGCTTATTCTACGTTGACTGACGGTGCTAGTGTGTATAAGTTTGGACTTGGGGCCAGTTTCGTTATCGTAAACTAAAACTGAAATGAGAATGGACACTAAATAAAAGAATATAATTCGTGAACTGAAATGAAAATGAAAACCATATTTACACAAAGAAAACGTGTCGGACTTTAATCTGCAAAAAATAAATACTGCCATACCACCAACATCTTTTACCTTGTTTAACCACAGTATCTCCTCTTTTAAAAGATGTTGTGGTTGTCAATATGTCCCTTCGCTCTTTTAGCCGTACTACTAATCTGCTTAAATTGTGGGTGTAAATAAACGTCCGTATTGACCGGAAAAGCTGCCGTCCGGGCAAAAATTTAGCCTGCCATCTTAAGCCCTGGTGATTATTGCGTATGCGCGATATAATGTCATGATATCGATCAGCCCTACTCGTTAATTTTATTTTTTTTTAAAAAGGTTATAACTTCTTTGTGTGTCTTAATGATTTACAGATTGTTACAGCTTAACTAAGAACCCGATTACAAAATATTCATAAACCATTTATAAGGGTAGTCTTATTGGAAAGTGGGACCCTCAGACATTTAGACCAATGTTTCCCAACCTGGTGCTTGCCAGACAGTAGTCATTTTTTTTTCGATGAAGCTGGGAGGGAGCCAAAACATGGATTGTCTTTGGATCCCCAAGGATTAGATTGATAAACACTGATTTAGACATTCAGGTGTTCATATGCATACAGAGCTGTCTGATGGCTTTTTAGTATCGAGGGATGACTGGCTCGACTATTGAAATCACTTCTGGAGTGCTGTGTGTCCTGGCCAGTGTACTGTATGCCTCTGCAGTCCTCGTCTATGACACTCATCTGGAGCCTGTCTTGAAGGCAATGCCTTGGATACTGACCGCTGCTGGATGTGCGGCCTTTGATGTCATTGTATCCTTCCACTATTTGATGCTTTTGAGTGTGAATTCCCATGCCGTATGGTCTTTGGGGGACAGTAACATGACTTCTGTCAATGGGCCTGACCTACAGTTCTGAAAAGAAAAGAAAATTTGGTCTGATACAAACAACCGCTAACATAAGTAAATGATATGAAACCCTTGTTTTGGAACAATCGTGGTATTTAATAAATCAGTATTCACTGTGTCATTTCATGCTCTGCTGTCCAAATATAAAATGTAAATTTGACAATCTTGGCTGAAAACGGCATATGTTGTATTTTGTTTAACCCTGCCACTCCAGATTGTTACGCTGTCCTGCTACAGGAGGTGGACAGGATGGAAATCTTTGAGCCAATATCCCAAATTGAATTCTGCAGAGACACAAGCCCTACTGGGGAACTCTGCCCCACGCTGGCCCAGAACGACAGCCTCAGCAAGCCAGCAAGTACGCAGCAAACAGCACCCTGCCCCCCATCATCCCCCACCTCCCCCACTGTCCTGCCACTTTCACCTGATTACTGTTTTGGTCCAGAACCTTGGTCTTTGCCTCATTCTCCTGCGTGTTCTTAGTCTCGTGTTACCAGCTAGCAAACATCTACATCCCTTCTTCTCTTTGACTTTATGTAAGGGATTAAGCCACACTCCCCTTCAGGATCTATCAGGCAATAGAACTCCAAACAAGAAGACTGAAGTCGGACAGTATATTGATGTGACCATTCCACCACCAAGAAAGGTTTTCTCTATCGGGGCAGAGGAAAAGCTTCTCTTTGCTATTATGCAAAATAAAATGCTTTCCACATTTTAGATGATGAACTAAGAACTGGTGATATCACAATGTAGATATTGGACATACATTTCATCCAAAAATATTTGCATTCCAGATTTGTTTGAAAGAAGTGAAGATTTCCAGGGAAGGTCAGTGTGGGAGTCAGACCCTAAGGAGGATCAGAGTGGTGAGAGTGGACAGTCCGCGCTCCTCTGACGGCTCCTCAGACACGTCATCTGTCAGCTCCGACCTGGAGGTCAGCACCATTGGCCCTAATAACTTTGTCCCTCATTCTGTCTCAGAGCACGCTTAAAGCCAGTGATTATTAACATTTTAAGTGCAGGGGCATAGCTTTTATGTTAATTTAAATAGTGTCTTAGCATGGTAAGTTTTTGTGTAGAGAACAGCCAAAGCTGCAATTCCACATTGTTTCAGTAGGTGGAAGTGCTGTGCAGATTTTGACCTTATGGTAGCTTGCTCTTCTATACCCTGCTAATTTTCTGTTTGAATAATGATTCAGTTTGGTCGTGTGCCAAAACGGCGATCACTGCAGCATCACCGCCCGTACGACTTTGTGTTGCTAAAATTACTTAGATTCCGTTGATATAGTTTGTGGCCGTCTTTGGTGTATGATATACTCTTTGGTAGCCTATAAATGTGGCTGTAACTGTAGCATGTGTATGCTGAAATGTCAGTAAATGATACACAGGGAGGTATGTTATATAGCGCTGAGGTATGGTAAATGCAGATGTGCTAAACCTTCGAGATCTGTTGTGTAGGGCAGCTGTTGCACTGTGGCTTTGGGCCATCCCCCTATTCCTGGAAAAAGCAATCAGCAGCAAACACCACTGAGGCTAAAACAAAGGGAAATGGCACAGAACAAATACTATTGTGCTTTAAACAATACGCTAAACAGGAAAAAGTGAATGTTCCCATTGATGTGTGTGAAAGAGCTGTATCCAGAAACCTTCTGTCAGGCATTTCATTATTAGGAAAGTCTTCTAATAATCATTGTTTCCTTCTAGTTGGTGTGGCGCGGCTAAGGATGCAGGGTATTGTATCCTAGGGTCATGAGTTTGGGTCTCAGGGGAGGCTCTGTATCCTACATGCTCCAGCAACCACAAGGGAAATTTGCCAGTTTAAATTAAATGAAATGTTCAGATCACTGAAAAATCAGAATAGTTTAATTGTATAAGTAAAAGGATTAATATGCACTCCCCTATGTGTATAAGACTTCCAAAGGTATGGGTATGGAAATGGCTCAACTGTAATACATATCTAAGTATCTAACCTTTAGCTTGGACTTTAACATCAAGTTCATTGTCATTATGTAAGCTAGTTTTACTTTTGCATAATGTGTAACCACTGACATCTAAGGAGTGACTAAAATTGATGGTGTTCCTGTGGAGCATTGTATTTCTTTGTCTGCATTGAGTGCTCTTGAGGAGTCAGTGACTTGTCAGGGGTGGGCTTTACGATCTGTTTTATAGGAAGATCATGTGATGAGGAAAACAGTTGATTGTGTGGAGAAAATGCCCTTGAAATAGATTGTGAATTTATCATTCACAGTGTGTGCTTAAGTGCAAATACTGCGAATGGTTCACTAGCAGGAGTAAATGATTGTGATGAAGAATTTACATGTTATGTTTAAATATTGACATTTCAAAGCAAGTTATGTATTTCAATATGCATTTTGAAGTCTTCTGAAATGTTTCTCTCTGATCCCAAGCTCCTTTGCTTTCCATTCATCTGTGAACAGTGTGGAATTAGCTCTGGATTGTTTCTGAACTTGGTATAATGAAGTGGGGAGTAAGGGATAGAATCAAGAAACTTATACTGTGGCTGAATTATTTTGCTGTTAAAGATCTGCGATTACAAGGCGGGGAGGGGTATGGGTCATACAAGGGAAGCACTCCGCGTTGCAGCTTCAGGAACTATTTTCAGTAAAATGCCTAATGCTTGTAGAACAGAAATGTTTACCTTAGCTGAGCAAATGGTCACTGCTGTTCATGTGCAGCTTTCATGTTTGGATCATCTGATTTACTATCCACTGTTTTATATGACACCACTAGTGCTGGAACTGCCAAATAACAACACAGGTTGCACAGAATCGCACAGAAATTTGTAGTGTTATTTTCTGCACCTGTAACTCTCATAACTGGCCTAAAACAAAATACGGAAAGTAAAGTAAGTAAATTTTAACTTTCTCATTTGTTAATCCCTTTTAGGAAAGAGTAATGTAAGTCAATGATCCTTTTTTTCCTATTTGGCCTTATACTGGAGTATATTATGCAAATAATAATTTGATTTTAAAAGTAGGTTTGGTATGATTTGCTGATGGCTCTATAGTGGTAAAGATAGCTTGTGTACCACCTACCACACCAGGAGTCCCAGTGATGTCTGTCTCACCTGTGCTAGTCTGTTTTTAGTATGCGACTTGTATCTGGAGTGTGTGTGAATCCATTTTTTCCCCCGCCAGTGGGATTTTGAAGATGCAAATGCACAATGGGGCAAAATACAGAAAGAGCAAAAGAGCTCTGAAGCTTTCCCACTCCACAAGTGGACGATGCTGTCAAAAGCAAAGCCTGATGCCAATGCCAACCAGCCATGCAAGGGGAAAAGCTCCAGCACCCAGCAGGATCCTTGACAGAGCACCAGGATGTGGCTGAACACCAACGATTATTACACTTTAACTATAGGCCTTACTGTCTGGTGAAAATTAACTGTTTTCTTCAGATTCTTTGTATATTAAATCTGCATGAAGAATATTGTTATTAATTCATTATAAAATATGAGGCAGTGAGGAGAGATGTGCATAGTAAATACAGAAACCTTCACAAACATGGATTTGTTCATGTGTAGCCCACAACAATTTTGAATGACTAGCTCTGAATCTGCCCCAAAGTGCTGGACCTCAGGCTGTCTCAGGATCAACTGGTTAGGCTAGACTTAAATCCATCTATGTGTCCATCCATCGTCTAACTGCTTATTCTGGTCAAGGTTGCAGGGCTGTCAAATACCATTAAATTACTGTACATTCTTTTTGATACACTTGGCTCATCCTAATTAAATTATAAGGTTAAAAATGTGTGTGTGATCTTATTTTGTGTGATACAGACTTCAATGATGAAACGTGCATTAGGAGCAATGTGGACCCCACATAATGAAAATCAGAGGAACCGTCACGCTTCCTGAATCGAATGATTCATTCACCATAAATTTACAGTAGAAATTAGGGTCAAAGCAACGCTCCTGCCGAACGTCATTTTATGAGAAAACCTTCAGCTGTCTGGTCTCATAACATTACACCACTGCAGCTGGCCCGCTGATTAATGCCTAGCTGGGATTTCAGCAAATGCGGCACTAGGCAGGAAGATGGCCTTTGGGAGAAGAGCCGCTGATTCAGGAGCCCTGGGGATCATTTCCCTTCACCAGAGCAGCCACACTTATTGTCAGGCTTTCATATTCAATCTGAGAAGCGTGATAAGGCACAGACTACGTGGCACATTATTATTTTACCAGTAATAAATCTCTGCTGCTCCTGCCTTCTCCCGTCTCCTGCAGCTCGGGAAATTTGTTCGTTCCAAAGCCATAGTAACAGATGGGAAGGGAAGGAACTTCCCTGCTATGATACGGAGACAATGCAAAGATTAGGAGTAGTCATGGAGGAAATGCTTTTCCTCAATTCAGTTCCTCTACTGATGTACAGGTTTAATAAATCATTATTGCAGGTGTTATATTCTTAAATGGTATTTTAATGAGGGTAAATTGGCCTTAGGAGTATGCCTGGGAATATTCTCACTCTTCAGGCTAAAAGCTTTATCAAGGGGTTTAACATTTATATGAGCTGTTCACTCGACTCGACTGGCAGGCCAGGAGGCAGTAAGGCCACAGCAGACCCTGCAATGCAGCAATGAGCAAGCCAACAAACAGGTCATGTGACACAGCAGGTCATGTGATAGTAGTCCCCACCCTGGGACATATCTTTCTGTTACTGACACACCCCTGGGGAAGTAGGATATACGAAAACAATTCTCTAACAACCTTTGTAATTACTTCTGGAAACATTATTTTTTAAAACAGTTAAACTAGGGTCTGGTACCCAATCAGCTTCATCCTCAACACTAAGTAGGAGTTGCTTAAATACATGCAAAGGGGCCCCTCGTTAAATCTGCACTCCTTTCATCGTGTGATTATCCTAATCTCTTCAGTGTCGGAGTTAGATACTTTCCCTGTATATTTCAAAATGCTTGATTTAACAGTGCTTTCAATGAGTCAGCGATGAAGTGGCAAGCTTACTGATGCTTCATGCTATCTGAAGAATTACTTGGAATTACAAGACCTGAGACATTCACAATTATTTAGGAGATGCATTTTTCTTAAGAGATGCACAGCAGGGCAAATACACCGTATTCAGAATCTGTGTTTCAATTTGCCACAAATTTATGCATATCAAATACATAAGATATTTTGGCAGATTGTGTGTATCACAAAGTGTGCATTTTTACTGCATTCCTACGTGAAATAGCTGGATACATCTTCTGTCAGGTCCAGTGCACAAGCGGGGACCGGGGAAGCAGATTCGGGACACGAGTATCACAAAAACGGGGTTCATTAGGGAAGCAGGGAGCAGCACAGGGCAAACGTCAATGACAGACCTCGGGAAACAGACTTGATCGCGGACTAAATACAGGACATGATGTCAGAATAAACACAAGACAGCTGGTACGATGGGAATTCACACGCAGGTAATGAGGTAGGCGTGGCACATACGAGGACTGGACGTGCAGGTCATGACATCTTCCATTTTGATTGATATAACTTTTCCCATCACAAATGCACCAAGGTTACAGGGTATGGGAAACTCAGCAAGACATACTTAGAAAAACAAATTAGATAGCGTACTTGTGGATTGCAAATTCAGTACAAACCATATTATAAGTAACAATACTCAGTTATCAAAATAAGCAAAACAATGTCTTATCAGTAACAATTGAATAGCCAGTTCAATACATAATAAAACAAATATGTAGACATTATGCTACAGGGACATCTCATTCAACAAATAAGAGTGGGCATGCAGGGAAGTTGACTGCTCGTTCCTTCCTACTTTTTCAGATCTGGAAAGTTCTGCCATTCAGTTTGAGTAGCTAGCAAAAAGTCTTAGAATTTATATGTAGACATACAGACATCAACATTATGTGTTTAGACATTGACATTCTATATGATGTGAAAACCTTTAGCATGTATGTGGAAGAATGAATTTTGAATGTTAAATTATAGGATGCAAATTAGAATGCAAATTAGAGGTTATTTGGGAATTAGTTTTGGGAAATGCATAATGAAAACAAAATTCCCTTTATACTGGCCCTATTCTGTGATCACGACCACTCTTAGTTGTCAGGGGTCTTAATCCCTAGCAGTCGCAGGAATGTGAAAAGTCCAAAGAAAGACTAGGCTCAAATGTGATGGTCCCCAGGGCACATACATTTTCTAGTGTTCATACAGGATCAATATTAAATGAAATGGAAGCATTGCTTAGGTGTGAATTGTGCAAGAAGCATATTTCATATTTTAACCTCATATCCAGTACAGGGTCGGAGGAAGTTTAAAAATCAAACTAAAATGTAAAATCATAAAAATCCACCAGTAGAATGGTAATTGGTTGCAATAAGAGGAGGTCAATTACTGGAATTTTCCAGAATGCAGCTTTGTGAGCAATGTTACAGGTAGCACGCGTAGCTGCTGCTGGAGTTGGTCAGTTCAGAAGAGGTTTAGAAAACACAGCAAGTCATGAGCTTGTGATCAGAAGATCAGCTTAAAAACCATCATAATGGGATCTTTGGCAATATTCCTTTATTGCTGCCTGTGTAAGATCCAATACAGGAGTCTTAGGAGCTGAAGGAAAATGTGGAAATATAAGCTCATTCAGTTGGCAGTAGTGTGCCTTCAGCCCTGTGAGGCCCTGTGCTCCCGCTGCGCTGCCAGCACTAATTATGTTGCTCAGCACTGCTCACTGACCATTGGAGAGATGGAGGTTTCACTTCACTGCCAGCTAGAGCAGGTATCTCATAGCAGGGAAAGCAATTTCGCTGGAAATTCTCAAAGAGCTTGAACACTGACACTCCAGGAACGTCAATCATCTGATGCCAGAACAGGATGCTAAAACAGCTACACATAAAGATTACATATGGGTTGTTTAATCTCCCCATTACTGCACTTATGGTATAGATTCTACCCAGGCCTGCTGTCATGTAAGCCAGTCTCCCTATAGGACAGGTGAATGGAGAAGGGGCTCAGATGACACCGATGATGAACCTCACATTGGTGGACATGATCCTGAGTTCAAATGAAAAGCATGGGAGTTGTCCATATTACTCTCTACCAAATAAGTTCTCAAAAATAATCTTTACTCATATTTTATTAACCCCCAAGAGGAAATTGTCTTTGCATCTCTCCCATATTGCTCTCAATGAGACACACAGACAGCTGAGAGCAAACTTGGGGGTCACAGCACAGGATTGACCAGCATCTAGCTCCCCTGGAGCAAATGGGTTTAAGGGCCTTGCTCAGGAGTCCAACAGTGGCATCATTCTGCTAACCATGGGATTTGAACTGGTGACCTTCTGATAATGGGCACAGAATCCTCACCTGTGGAGCCACACAACACCCACAAGCAATATGCAGCAGCTACTCTATCACCAACAATGGTATGGAGGTTTGAGGGCCAGCACAGCTATGAGTACTTTCTTCATGGATGCACTGTACAATCAAACCTAGATAACAACCTGACCAACACTGTGATGATCGTGTGGTACAGCTGAGGCATGGAGGTAAGAAACAAGCACAACAGCCATTTGGGGTTTAACAGAGAAGGGGGCAAGCAAAGGAAAGCAAGATGGGTATCAGCTCTACAAACGTGTCACATGGGCTGTGTGCCTGGATATACGACTTTTATATCACGAGTTGGTGGCTGAATTAATTACCTAAATTCCTCTTGCTCTAGGGTGTCCAGACTCTTCCCCCATCTAGCAAGATGCATGCAGAAAATGAAATGAAGGCACTGTCATGACCTGGCTTTACAAGATGAAGGGCTGACATTTTGCACGTAATTTGGCAAAGAAACTGCTCATGCTGTTCAGTTCCATAATTAAGGACATCATTTCAAGGTATGCTGGATGAGGTGGCCATTGAGGAATATGCCAGCCCATAGCCTGCTTTGCTATCACAACAAAACATGTTTTTTTCCAAAGTAATGTATGCATGACAGGGTCAAACAGTTTTCTTGGAGAAATTGAAGTTAAGGGCCTTGCACAAGAGCCCAACAGTGGCACAGAATCTGGACTTGCAGAGCCACACACCACCCAGATAGTAACTGCTGCAGGCAGTTCTGTGTACATTTCATAAAACTGCACAATCATTAATAAAGATGGGCAGGACTGTTGTGCCTCACGGCACACGGAGAACAGAAGCTCATGAAGCCAGAAGTCGGGTGAACTCGGGGTTTTAATAGGAACAGCAACGATAGGGACAGAGGCGACGATAGAGGTGACGCCGAGGACTTGCACCGAGGCACCGGGGGGGGGACCCAGAGGGGACCGCCGACCCAGAGCCGGAGGACCCGCAGGCAGCCACCGAGCCAGGGGGCAGGGCGGGCGGGACCCGGCCCCGGCGCAGGTGTCCCCGCCCTTTCCGGGAGACTGAGAGGCCGGGGTCTGTCACACTGGGGTGACGGTGGAGGAGTCCCAGGGGAAGTCACAGAGGCAGTCACAGGGGAAGCCAAGGTGATCCCCCCGCGGGCAGAGCGACGGCATCAGGCAGGTCCACGGGCATGTGGCCAGCAGGGGGCGCCATAGCGGGCACCTCGGGTGTTGCCGACACATGGCCAGCAGGGGACGCCACAGCAGGCACCTCGGGCACCGCCGACACGCGGCCAGCAGGGGGTGCCACAGGGGGTTGAGCTGGGAGCTCAGGCACTGGAGTCACGGGGAGCACTGGAGTCACGGGGAGCTGAGGAGGCTGCACAGGGGACTGGGCAGGGGGTACCCACTCCAGGCCAGCAGGGAGTAGTGCAGCTGGAGCAGGAGG